CCCGGGACTCGGGCACTACCGACACCACCGCCAGGCCGCGTTCCGGCCGGCCGGCGGCGAACAAACCGCGGAAGTAGGTGCTGCCCGCGCTGAGCGCGGCGCGGTGACACGGGAAGTCGCGGCCCCCGGCGCGCAGCACCACGTCGGTGAGGGTGCCGCTCCGCCGGTATGCGTTGAGGGTCTGCAGGACGCGCTGCGCGTGGCAGGACGCCGCGCACGGAGCCTCGCAGCCCGGCTCCGGGTCCTCGCGCCCGGGGGCCTCTCGCATCCTATCGAGCAGAGAACAAAGATAGCGTTGGGAAATCCCTCTGGCGGGAGCAGGCTTGGCTCAGCGCACACCCCCGTGTATGCTAGGTTGTAGGCGCGCATTCGTTCAGCAGCCTTCCATCCACCCACTGGGAGTCCTGGCTGCACTGATCTAGTCTTGTCTGTCTCCCTCCAACCCCCGTTTTTCCCTCCACCTCCTCTTCTCTCTCCTTTTTCTTTTCTTTTTTTTTTTTTTGTCGGCCTTGGGGCTTGAACTCTGGGCCTAGGCACCACCCTCAGCTTTTTCACTCAAGGCTAGCACTCTACCAATTTGAGCCACAGCTCTACTGCTGGTTTTCTGGTGATTAATCGGAGATAAGAGACTGGGAAGGTGGCTCAGTGGTAGAGTGCTTGCCTTGCAGGCATGAGGCCCTGAGTTTGATTCCTCAGCACCGGAAGTGGTGCTGTGGCTTAAGTGGTAGAGTGCTAGCTGAAGAGCTGAGGGACAGCACCCAGCCCCAAAGTTCAGGCCCCATGACCAATTAAAAAGAAAGAAAGAAAGAAAAAAAGAGTCTCGTGGACTTTTCTGTCCGGGCTGGCTTGGAACCACAATCCTCAGATCTTAGCCTCCTGAGTTAGTAGGATTACAGGCGTGAGCCACTGGTGCTCGGTCTCGTGTAGACTGATTTCAGTCACAGTGCTCTTTCTGTTCTTCAGACTGCTAAGCTCATTCCCTATCAATCTCTGCTGGAAACAGATGGCAGACCCTTAAATAGGGAAATTTGAGCAGAGTCCAATAAATGAACGATTTGCAAATGTTTAAGCGGTATTTGGGGACTCCACATGGCCACATGGCGACCAACAAACAAAAGGGCGTATTCCTGGTCACAAGGGGATGACAGGAAGGGTCTTGGAACTTGGGACAAAATTATGTAGGGAGGAGCTGTGGACAAGGTATTCAGGCCTTGAGAATACTCCTCTGGTCTGTGCCACTATCCAGTACTACCTACTACACCAGTCCTCTATCCTGCCTCCTCCAGATCTGTAGGCTGATTACCCCTAGGCTGAACCTTGATTGATGCTCTTTAATGTCTGCTCCACCCTCCACACCACTCACTAACTGCATACAGCTGAGTGTTTTAAACAAATACTTAGTGAAAGCCTTTTCTGTGTCAGGCAGTGAGCAAGACAACTATATGCAGCTTCGCAGAGCTCACAGCTTGGCAGGGGTACTTCTGGGAAATGTAGAGAATTAGGGGGGACCTAAATTTTAGAAGGGACAGTAAACCCTGGAAAGGTTAATCAAGGAAGAGGATCTTGGAGGAAGACCTCCAAACTGAGAAGGATGGGCAGAATTAGCCAACTAAGGGTGAGGGAGCCCAGGAGAGGATGTGTCCAGCTGCTGGGAAGTAGAAAGCAGCAGCTGTGAGGAGGATTATGAGGTTCTGATCCTCCCCTTCCTTTTCCTGTCTGGGCTCAAAACACAATCATAATGCCTATAGTTGTAACTGAGGAACTGACTCACTATGAAAAGTGCTAAGTCCTCAGTACTCAATGAAGGTTTCCTTGCCTTGTGTAGACTCATGCGCATGTGCTTGTTGCTTTTGTGAACATAATTTGAACTGATCTTCCCAACCCTGAGAAATGTCTTTAGTCATACACCACCACCACCCTTTTTTTTTCTTTTTCTTTGGCAGTCCTAGGGCTTGAACTCAAGGCTTGGGCACTGTCCCATAGCTTCTTTTTGCTCAAGGCTAGTAGCCACAGCGCTACTTCTGCCTTTTTCTGTTTACTGAGAAATGGCTTTGTGCATGCTAGGCAAGTACTGTACATTTCCAGCCCCCATTCCTAGCTTTTTAAAGCTTGTCATGAGGAAACAAGCACACAGAGGGAACTTGGCCTTCTGAGTTAGCTGTGAGAATGGGAGCGGGACGGATGTCTGTGAACATTGTGTGCTGTTAGGTCTTGGTCCCTATAAGCATGTAACTAATATTTGCATGCTTCCAGGGACAAGAAGCTCTCTCCTTTATGTGGCAGCTCCCTACAGGGGGATTCGGGCTCTGCCCTCTGCCCCTTGTCTCTCTCCATTCTCCTGATCTCAGGTCCTATCCAGGATCAGCCTGGCTTTTATGGCTTATGCCTGGATCATCTTGGGCAATGGATCTCCTCCTGCCTCAACATCACAAGAAATGAAATGTTTCCAGTGGACACATAAGTTCGCTGCTTTTGCCCAAGTAGAGGGGGCTGGGTTTTGAAGCCGTGTGGCTCTGCCTGCTTAGTCCCTCTAATGCATTCACCAGGATTGGGGGTGTGTTCTTGAGGAGCATGCTGCGTGTACTGTGGACAGCCACAGGAATTGAGACCCCAGAGAGCAGATCGCTTTAGCATCTGGGGGACTTCTCCCAGCTCTTCTTCTTCCACCCTGGAGATTGCCAGGGTGAGGGCTGAAGAGCACCCGGATGGTCAGATCATGGAAAGTAGGGGTTGCCAGGCAAGGCTCTATCAATGTCCTCTCATCTCAGCAGAGTCTAGACACTTCATGCCAAGAGTCAGACACAGATCTTTGAGAGACCCAGCCTGTAAACTTGGCTCAACACACCATCCTCCCCATCTCCTCCTCACCTCACATCTACTCACAACACATGTTTAGACTTGTGGCAACACCCAGTCAGCTCAGAATCCTAAACTACCCCCAGGTACCTGGGACTTACCTGGCCACCCCTTCTCCTGGGGACTCTGAAGCTGATGCTCGGGAAGGGATCACTTCTGTCAGTGCCTGCACCCTGTCTTCATTCTGCCTGTGCCGGCTGGAGCTCAGGCTTTAATGTCCCTGCTGCTCTGCCCAGACTTGGGCTCAGGCTCAGCTGTGGGAGGACAAAGGGGCTGGACGCCAGGGAGAGGGAAGGAGGAAGGGGGAGGGGTGGATGCTGGGCTTTTGTTTCACTCTTGGACCAGCCCTGGAGGCAGGGGATAGGAGGAAGCACAGGATCCACTGTGTATAACTGCAGGGTCTGGTTTGGGGCCATAATGAAACTCTGTGTGTGTGTGTGTATCTGCCTGGGTAGATGAGATAGTTGTCAGTGTGTCGTTGTTCCAGATACCTATGTGTGAATATGGCAGTGTGTGGAACATAGTGACTGTCTCATTGGGGGTGTCCTGGATGCATGGATAGGTGACCATGTAGCCACATGTGACCAAGAATGTGACTGTCATAGTTATGGATCAAAGTTCTGGCCTCTTTGTGACTGTGCTGAACCTATGTTCCTGATTTGTAGGATTTTGCCTGGCCATTTCTTTGTGTCTGGGTGTCTCTGTGATTGTTATTTTTCTATGTGTCAGAGGTTTGTATCTCTGAATTGTATGATGTCCCAGCTATGTATACCCATAGATCAGGTGTCTGTGGACATCTATGTATGTGTATGAGACAGGGGTCTGTCTATGTATGTGTGTGCTTACAGTGTGTGGCCTTGCTTTTTGTGTGTGTGTGTCGGTGTACATGTGTAGGTGAGTGCTGGCCCCTTGGAGGGACACAGCATGGCACTGGGCTGGTTGAACAGGGTGGAGGAGAAAACGAGGCAGATCTGGGACAGATCTGCCTGAACCTAGAAGGGGATTCTAAGTGGGTACTGGCTCACTGCTACCTGGCAAGGAGGGGACTTGCCTTCATGACAAGGGACAGCAACTTGAAGAGGTTGTCCTGACAAAATCCTGTACGGGCCCCAGGCACCCGGCCTTGGTGACACTGCTGTGAGGATGTACAACCCTGGCCTGATCACTGTCCAGCTTGACTCTTTCCTGCAGCAGGAGGGGAATGTAGATGTGTTGGATTGCTAAGACACTTGGGAGAGAGTGAGAGAAAGCCACATGCTGCATGGAGATGCCCTTGCTGGGTATAGTAGGAGAGGAGCCAGTGTGTACCACAGGCCGTAGGCTAAGCTAAGGATGGAGACTGGACCAGCTATAAGTCCAGCAGACGGCTGCTCTCCTGCATTGCCGGAGTAGAGGGAGGCAGCAAACTGACCTTGGACCTGGAGTAGTTTAGGGTCCTGGTGTTGATAGAATGCAGCTCACTGCCTGCTTAGGACCCTGACCTCTCACCCCTTCTCTCCCATCCATTTAAAAAGACTCTAGGATGTCTCAAGCTGCCCAAGTGTGGCCAAGAGTGTCAGACACCCTGGCTAATGGACCCGGGGGAGCTGACTGGACAGGAAAGGGAAGGCTGTCCTCAGTAGGCTCCCAGAGGCTATCTAGGGTTTGTCTGTGATCCCCCCTCCCCCCACCTTACTCCTGTCCCAGCAGCTGTTTTACTCACTGCCTATGCCACCGACAGGTGAGAGCTGACTTTGGCTCCAGGAAGAATCTACCAGGTATTCTGTGGGAAGGGTGAGTCAGGTGAGTTCCCTCAGTCCTGAGGGGCTGTCTCAGAGGTTAATATGGGGGACCCAGTGGCAGTCAGACCTTTGGAAGGGGCTGTTTCCCTTTCCTTAAAGAAGGTAAGAATCTCTCAGATTGCAAGAATTTTACCCTGAAGAGTTTGGAGAAGAGACTGGCATTTATTTAGATTCTTTTTTTTTTTTTTGTCGGTTGTGGGACTTGAACTCTGGGCCTGGGCGCTGTCCCTCAGCTCTTCAGCTCAAGGCGAGCGACCTACCACTTGAGCTACAGCACCACTTCCGAGACTGGCATTTATTTAAAGCAGCCTGGAACTGGGTGTTTAGCCACTCCCAAAATACAGCTCAAATCATGCAATCTCAGATGAAGCTGACTTAACACCTGCCCTAATCCACTGCCGACTCCTCCTTGGAGAGAGCAAAAGGCAGAAACCACCAAAGATGGAAAGATAGAAGGGCATACTTTGGCCCAAAGGGTATATTTTCGCTTTTTTTTAGGCGGGGGGAGGGTCCAGTCGTGGGGCCTGAACTCTGGCCTGGGCGCTGTCCCTCAGCTCTTCAGCTCAAGGCTAGCACTCTACCACTTGAGCCACAGCTCCACTTCCCGCTTTTTTCTTATATGGTACTGAGGAATCGAACCCAGGGCCTCAGGCATGCAAGGCAAGTGCTCTACCACTGAGCCACTTCCCAGCCCTATATTTTAGCTTTTAATCCAGGTGTCTACTGTGCCTGCCTCGCCCAGGCAAAGCCCAGAGGAGTGAGGGCTGACCTCTGCTGTGGGGAAGTCATCTCTCTGCTGAGGGTTTGTTCTCCTTAGACAAGGGCCAGAACATCACTATGAGCCATGAAGGAGCTGTTGGACCTACTCCCCATCTCTGCCTCAGACCCAGGAGAATCTCCCCTGCCTGCACTGGGCTGCTCCTGGCTGGTAATGGAATATGGTACAGGCTAGAGTCAGAATGTGGGTGGGGGCCTGGCTTCACCTCTTCTAAGCTGTATGGACTTGGAGAGTCACTTTGCGTCTCCAAGCCTGTCTTCCCACCCATACTATAGAGATACTGGTTTCCCATGGCAGAACTGCTAAGCATCTAGCATCATGGCTGACCCAGGGTGGAAGCTAACCATCCTGCCACTGTCTCCGTCATCTTTGACAGCAGTCCTTCCTTCAAATCCCAGGTCAGAACCGAATCCCAAACCTTGCATGCTGTGTGCCACCCTCCTGCCCACAATTCAAAGACAACACATATCAAGATGGCAGCTTTAATCATCCTGGCCAAGGCCCCCCCAGCTCCCTTCACTTTTTGGCCACACCCCCACACATGACAGAGCCCAGCACATTTTGGCCCTGTCCTGTGGCCACCACTGTGGAACCTGAGGTTGTTTCAGTCTCTGGATCTCCTGGGCCCCAGGGCTACACATACCCCACAGGCCTGTTGGACACTTGGGCTGAGAAAGAACAGCTCCGTGAGCCTGTACTTCTGGCCATCTCAGCTGCTTCTAGGGCACATGGCTTGAGCCCTTCCTGGGGCAGGGGCTGGAGGTGGTGGGAGGCTGGTTGGGAGGAGGACATGTCTGCACCATGCCTGCTGGCTTTCCTCTTGGACTGAACCTCCTTGTGCTTTGAGATAAAGTGGAGAACAGAGCTGCCGGGGCTGGGGTGGAGGACCATCTCAGGTCCTCAAGGCAGGATAGAGAAATGGAGATGTCAGTTGCTTCACAACACAGACAGGTTGACAGACACATGTGGGCACAGTGAGCATCCCACCCTTCATTGCCTCTGTGGATGTAGCATGGCCCAGCAACTTGTCAAAGCTTCCAGGCTGGGATATGAGGGAGGAACGAAAGAATGAGACCAGGGGACCAGGCCACCAGGCCCAGGCACCACATTTCCCAGAAAGAGGAGCCCCAGGCCTGCAGGGGCATCTGAGAGGCTGGAGTCTTGGCCAGCTGGGCCTCGGGAGTGGAGACTCCTCCAAGAGAGGCCGAGACTGACAAGGGTTAGAGCCCGTGAGGAAGTTGTGGAGGAGCTCCCAGAGCCCTCCAAGTCCAAACAGCTTCTGCCAGCAATCCTGGGCTCAACTGGTACTATGTCCCATACAGGCTGGGACCGACGGGTCTTCAGCTAGCGCCCACTATGGTCTGTGAAGGTCTTGCTGCGACTGCCGCCCCCTCGAGGGCCCACAGGGGTGGTGCTGTTGGTGTATGTGTCATAACTGCTGTCTGAACACACAGATAGCTCATCCGAGACCTCCACACCATCGCTGATCTCTGTTGGACCAGAGGGGACAGAATGTGAGTGGGAGGATGGGTCCTGAGGATGGCGTCGGGTGAAATAAGAGTGCCCTGTAAATCCTTGTGTGACACTTAAGAGACTGATGTAGCCACCAGTCCTGGTGTTGAACCTGTTGGCATTCAGGGCACCTCCTTAGATTCTGCTGAACGCTGTCCTTGCCTCAGTCTTCTGCTTCCTGAACAGAAAACCCTCCACAGGCTCTTGAGCTTGTTTTTACTCTCCTTAGGGCTCCTCCCTTAAGGGTGAACTCTTGTCAACACCTCCTTTTCCTGAAACTTGGCATTGGCCTCCTGGAAGTCTCAGGCTGAGATGGGGCCTCCTCATGGGCACATCCATCAGGCCAGCTCTTGCTTTCCCTCAACCCTGGTCACATTCTCTGTGGCTGCTGCATCCCTCAGTGAGCACAGCTCTCCAAGGACATCTGTGTTCTAATACTACAGAATGCTGGGCACACAGCCGAGGTTCAGGAACGCTCTGCTGAGTTGGCATGGGCCTGTAGAGTGCTTTTGGTTCCTGATGCCTCTGACTGCCTCTGAACCCTTGTTCCCACCAGAACACCTGCCTTCTTTCACCCTCTGAGCCCCGCCTCTCCACACCACCCAGGGACCACCCGCTATCCTTCACTCTCACCACCTGTAATCTCCCTCACTCTCCACCTCAGTACTCATGGGAAAGCTCCAGTGACACCCACTTTTCCACATCTGTGTATAGCTGCCACTTCCACCAGACTGGGGAGGTTGGCAGGGGTGAAGTCATCATTTGTAGATTCCATGGATGAAGCAGGCAAAGGGGTTGAGCCTTCAAAAAGTCTCCCTGAATGTCACCCCATCTACTAACCACAGTGTTGATAGAGCTGACTGTGGGTAGACATGTGTTGCTCCATATGGACCTGGTGAGTGTGGTGAACATATGGTGTGTGGACCACTGAGACCAGGCCTTGCCTTGGCCCAGCTGTGGGCAGCTCACCTGAGAAGATGAGTTTCTCCTTCATGATGCTGACGTCCCGGCTGGTCCGGCGCACGGCCGCACTCAGCATGATCTGCTCAGGGTTGTAGCTCCTTATGCCACCCAGGCGCCACCTGCAGAGATGTCCTGTGGGCATCAGGTCCTCCCCCTCCCTTCGTGGAGCAGAGACCCTGCCCATTTCTAGAGCTTTTCTAGATGTGGTCTGAGAGGCTCCCTATGCAAATGGAGGAACCTGAGGCCCAGAGAGGGGCAGAGGAGGGGCTCAGGTCAGAGATCAGCCACGGCTCTCTTGCCTCCCTCTCATCCTCAGGACCCTAAATCAGCAACTGTCTAGAAAGATGATTTGGTTATTTCTGTTGCCGGTGCCTCCAGTTCTGCACCTGGTTGTCTTTTTGTTTCTGTCTGATTTTTGTGCTGGTAGTGGGGCTTAAACTCGGCCTTGCATTTTTGCATTCTATCATTTGAGCCACACCTCTACTTCCAGCTTTTTGCTGGTTGGCTGGAGATAACAGCCTCTCGGGTTTGTCTGTCCAGGCTGGTTTCATATCACGATCCTCAGATCTCAGCCTTTTGAGTAGCTAGGATTTATAGAGCTGAGCCACCAGTGCCTGGCTACTTGGCTGTCTTTGGATGAGATGGTCTGGGAAGGAAGAGATTTAACTCTGGCAGACACCTAGTCTAGGAAGTAGCAGCTAAGGCCTCCTACAGATCCACTATCATGGCAGGCAGAGTACGCCCAAGGGAGTCCCAGAGAAGTCAGGAGATATGCAGGTGAGGACAGATGGCAGTGGGTCTTTACTCAGAGCTGGCTCTCACAGTTTGCTACAGCCAGGGTTTTAGAGATACTTGGGAAGGTGCCATGCACTGTTCTAGCCACCCTAGTAGGAGGCATAACCCAGAGCATTAATGCTTTTTGTGGTGGAGAAGGCAGCAGGGCAGGGTAAAAATGAGAGGTAGGCTGCCATGTAGAGGGACCAGGACAATGAGGGGAGGACTCAAGTTCTGGTCCCCAGCCCAGGGCAATAGGTTTTTCTGTAGTAGCTCCCCTGAACAACCCCCAAATCTCTGGCCTATGAACTGGACTTTTCTTAGGACCTAGGTAGAAGGACTCATGATCCCTATCCCTGTCTCACCAAGAAGAGGGGTGGGACCCCAAGGGACTGAACCCTACTTGGCTGAGGGGGCAGCCAAGACTCCACAGAAATTAATTGTAAATTTCTAGCTGGAGTCAACACAGTAGAAACGGACAGAAGGCTGATCAGAGTGGACAAAACTGAGGCAGTCAAGGGGGAATGGAAGGCACTTATACCTTTGCTAGGCTAACCTCCCTTTGAATCCTTGATAGTAAGGACTATCCTCTGACTCACTTGGTGCCCAGCCTTAGCCTCAGATGCCTACCATATTGTGGGTACTGAACAAGCATCTGTTGAGTGAATAAACGAGACAAAAAGGCCTATATTCTCCCCCTTCCTGCAGCACCATCAAGCTCCATCAAACTGCTCCTGACCCCCCCTCCCCAGGACCCCAGGGGCCCAGCACCATACTCAGTAGCACTGTGAAGTCTGCAGACTCTGCAGGTAGAGGAGTTGACTAAAATGATCCTCTGCTGGCTTCAGTCCCACAGCCAGGGAGTGTGTTTTAGAAGCGCATCAGGGAAGCCTCCTGACCCAGGAGGACCACAGGCACCAGACCAAGGCAGGGCTTAGATCCCTAAGACCTGAGTTTTACTTTGGAAATGAACATTGAAACCCAGGAGGAAAGTGTCAAGCCAAGTCTTGGCAGCTAGAAACATGGGGGCAGGAAGCCATATGGGGCCCTCCCCAGGGGTATTTAGGGGGTGGGAACAGGGAGAGGAACAGGGATGGGAATCGGACAGGAGTGAAAAAAGAAAGAGTTGGGAGAGACAAAGAAATATAAACAGAGAGCATGGACCCTAGAAGAGGAAGCCAGAGAGGCAAAAGCCACTGGGGGCAGGGCAGGGAGAGAGAGAAAACAAACAAACTGGGAGTTTGCATCAGGCAAAACTTCTGTGAGTGCTATACGCAGACAGGGACCCTGTCCCCGAGGGAGACACTGGTGCTGAGGGATGCTAGGTTGTGCATGCGTGCGTGCGTGTGCGTGTGTGTGTGTGTGTTGTATGTGAAGGACATGCTGGTCACTACCAGCAGAAGCTGTAGTAAGAATAGAGAGGTCAGGGACACACACAGCAAGATGGGAAGGGCAAATCCCAGCACTGAGACAGGATTGCAAGTTCAAGGCCAGTCTGAGCTGAGTACTGAGACCTTACCTAAAAAAAAAAAAATTGCAGAGAAGATTGTTGCAGGGGGAAAAGGAGGGTTAGTGCTTCAGGCAGGGGTCAGCGAGGGTGACCCAGGCACAGGGCTCAGTGCATGGCAGATTATCAGACAAAACTGGAGAAGGGGATGGCCAGAAAGAGGAACAGGAGGAGGAGGAGGACCACACCAGAATTACCTGATCAAGTGATAGCTGTGAGATGCCAGAGTGCAGCAGAGAGGGGGAGGGGAGAGAGGAGGGACATGCGCCGATCAGAGCAGGATGGACAGAGAGAGAACATCAGTCAAGAATCAACCCAGCCCCTTGGTTGCTGGCTGGCTTGGGGCCCCAGGCGCGCCCTAAACCCTCCCCTGAACCACCCAGACCACCCACTTCAGCCAATCCTTGCTGGCCTGAGGGATGGGGCTTTTCAGCTTGGCAGGGGTCAGTGCTGTGGGAAACAAACCCATGCCCTGGGTAACAGAGGGCAGATTTGCCAGAGCCTACATAGCAGGTTAGGGCAGAGATTGGCTCTGGATTCCTAGCTGGGTGCTCTATCCCCTAAGCTAGTCCGCCTCTGCTGAGGGAGGAGGACCTGAGGCCTCTGGCAGTCCCTCCTAGTCTCCTTCTTCTGGCCAAGGGCTCAAGGCTGGGAGCAGCTTCACCTGGCTAGGGGGGTGGGGAAGCTGGGCTGGGCCTGCCAAGGGGCAGAAAGGTCATGAATACATCAGAGCCTACTCACTTCTGGACCACGAAGATGCCGATGATGAGGGTGAAGGAGATCAGGTCAGCAGTGACCCACATGAGGCAGTATTCCTCTGGGGGCTGTGGACAGAAGACAAGGCCAGCTCCCAGTTATGGCCCATTCAAACCACAGGTCCATGACTAGTGAGCAGGGGACTTGAGGGCTTCTGGCTTTATTTTGTGGGGGTAGTCCCTAGGCACTGTGTGCCTAGGTGTGTGTGTGTGTGTGTGTGTGTGTGTGCGCGCGCGCGCACGCGCATGCACGTGTATGCATGACGGCATGTGTGTGCACACAGGGTAGAAGTAGAATGTGTTCAAGTTGTATGTACTTAAGGTGGTCAAAAAAAGAGCCTAGCAATGGAAGATGGTTACTGTGTGTGGATGCCAGTGTCACATGACTCACAGGTGGGCAAATGCAAGCCTGTAAACAGATGTGCAGTGCCTGTGAACAGGTGTGTGGCTTCAACTAGGAGCACAGGGGCTGGGAGGGCAAAGCTTCATCCCACTAGGGCAGGAGCTGTACATCAACCTGTCCGTCAGTGCTCCATCCTGGAGGAGCCTGGGAGGTTTGTAACGACGACATACAGGGGAGACTGAAGAACAGAGCCTTTAGGGCTTGGAAGGGGTTGTGAAAGAGCCCAGGATCTGAAGCCCATGACTCGGGTTCCCATTTTTTGGTTCTCTCCGGTTCTCTTATGGCTTCACTTCTCTTGGGGTCTCATTCCTATCTGTCTCTCCCCAGTTCCCCTAACTCCCTAGTCCCCCAGGGAGCCATCCATAGCTCAGCTCTGACCTGCTGACCCTGCCACTCTTCATCCCACAAGCAGCTCTCAACCCTTGGAGGTAGATCCTCTACTGGGCTCCCCAGGCTTGAGGCAGAGCGGGGACTGAAAGCCAATCTGCAGGGTCTCAGTCAACTGATCCAAATATGTTCTGTTTATTCTTCTCTGAGCAGACTTCCACATTCCTAGTTCTCACCCTGATGGTAGCCTTTGTTTTCTTTCCTTTAAAAACCAAATATAACAAACTCCCCAAACAAAATAAACCCCCAAACCAGAAACACCCAGTAGCTATTGTCTACTTGATGTGTTCTTCCCTGTGGGTCAGGCCCAGGGACCTCCAACACCTCAGTCCCCAGCAGTTGTGGGATCTGTTTGGAGCCTGTACCCCTGCCTCAGACATCACACTTGAGACCTCCCCAGTTCTTGCTGAGGGGTGGGGTAGCCCCTAAGCAGTCTTCTGATCTGTCCTCCTGGGTGTCCTCTGGTCACCTCAGTCTCCAACTCACCATGATCCAGAGTGGGGAGGGCACCTGGGACAAGGTGTGGGAGTTGTCAGAGGTGACGGACGGGACCCCTGCACACCACAGCAGGGAGAAGAGCCAGGGCGCGTTGACGGTGTACAGGTTTACACTCAGATTCCAGGATGCGTAGTCCCTGGGCAGGGGACAGAGCTTGATCAGCCCAGGACTTTGGCTGCCCGGGGCAGGAAGTAGTTGTAAAGCAGCCCCTCACAACTATTCCTGTGGGAAGCAATGTCCTCACCCAAGGACCAGGCTCATGGCAGACCCAGCTCTGCACATGCTCTCACCTCCCCTTTCTGAGCCATGTGGGCCCCACCCTGGGATCCATCCTTCCCTGTGCCTGGCTGTGCCTGGACTGGGGGACACTCAGTCCCTCCCCCCTCTGGATGAGTTAGGGCCACAGGGCAGGCACCTGAGCTCCTGGCGGGACACCTGAGTGTAGCGCAGGTTCAGCCGCTGGATGTGGCCTCTCTGCAGGCTCGCCACGGTCTCCTTGGATCCTGACGTTTGCTGGAAGCCAGGTGCCAACTTCTGCACTAGGGGCCTCTGCCTGTTAGGCAGCCACATAACCTGCAGGCAAGAGATGTGGTAGTCAGGCTTCTAGTCTGTCAAATTGGGTAAGAGGCCCTAGCCCTCCCAGAGTCCACGTAGGGATGTGCAAGGGGCTGGGACTGTGGCTTGGGTGGAACTGTTATTGCGGGCCAACCAACTCTGGAGCTTCCCTTCCTGGTACAAGGACAACAAAAGCATAATTCAACATCCACCACTCTGCATTCATAGGGTGGCCTCCCATTCCTGGGGTCCCAAATGACTTCATGATACTTCGTGTTCTCTGAAGTGACCAGAGGGCCTAGGGCACGCCTCTGAACAGCTCAAAGTACTGGCTAGTCTCCCACCTGTCCCATAAGGACACAGCAGCCAGGGATGTGCAGGGCAGGCAGTCATCATTTTACAAATGAGAGCTGAAGTCTGGAGGGGGGATGGGTGCATTGATGCCACCTGGCATGGGGCTTCATTGCATGAGGGGTGGCAGCGGGCCTCACCTGGTGCTGTGGGAAGCCTGAGTGCAGCACGGCCTCCAGGGTGATGTTGAGGAAGCTGGTGCGGTAGGGGTGCTCACGGGGTGGGTCATGCAGGTTGAGCAGCACCGTGGCATTGCCCTTGGCCAGCTCCAGGAGCTCTGCCAGACTACAGATGGACTGGTTCTGGGCCTCCCTGTGGTCTGAGGGTGACAGGGAGCTGGCCGTCCAGAAGGGGTCAGTCTGGCAGAGGAAGGGGCACACAAAGCTGTGTCACCAGCCCTTGGGGGCCTTTGCATAACTTCCTGAAAACTTAGCATGGAGACTCCTGGTCTGCTAGCATCTGCTGGTGTGTGTGTGAGTCTGTGGTCCTAGAAGGTCCTGACCCTCAGCTTTCTCTCCCATGTCCACTTCCCAGAAAACAACTTGCTTGGGGCCTCTCCCAGTCCCCAGAACTTTCCACCTCAGGACACTTGAAACCAGAAACTTCCTTGCCTTTAGAGCCACTGCATTAACATCCTGTTAACCACCCACGTCCCCTTCTGCCTTTCCTGATGAGGGAGACAGAAGCAATTGCTAACCAGCCTGCCTGGGGTCATCTGAGATGACAGCCACCACCTCTCTCACTTCTCAGGGTCTCTGCTGCCCCTCCCAGGCCTAGGATTGGGCCCAGTGCAGACAGACCTTCAGAAACCACTGGCCAGCGTTGAGCCTCTGCAGGACAGTCCAGTTGAGCATGGCGGAAGGCCTGTGGGCGAGCTCTGGGAACACCTGCTCCACGTTAGTGGTACGTCGCAGAGTAGCATCATGCATAAGGAAGGGGATGCCATCCAGACTATGGGAGAGGGAGCTGCTGTCACAGCCCACCCAGGCTTTCACCTGCCCACCACTGCTCCCTTATTCACTCCTCCCTAATCATCGTGGGGCCCTGGTGGCTCTGGCCCTCTCTGGGCTGCAGACTCCTCATCTGTCTGGGAGGGACAGTGGGATGGCATCACTCCAAAGGGCCAATACTCTCTGGCTCTCTATCAGGATCGTGTGTGTGTGTGTGTGTGTGTGTGTGTGTGTGTTGCTCAAAGAGTATTGGAAAAAAGCCTGATCCTATTCTTAACAAACCTTGAAGGTCGATTCTGCCTCATTTTATAATGGGGAAACTGAGGATAACAGAAGGAAGTTCCTACCTCAAGGTCCATGGACACTAAGTGGTGGAATCTGGCTTAAAATCAAGTCCATGCAGGGCTGTAATAACAGTGCCAAGGTAGGCCCTGTGATAAGTTCCACCCCCCACATTCCTATCTACCCCACCAGGCTGTCAATAGCTCATAGGCTATCTTTATGTGAAATTGAAAAAAGGCATCTATGACCCTCTTCCTCAAAGCATTTTACCACCATCTGCTGGAAAGGTGAGACCAACACTTGCTTCTAGCCTTTCTACATTGAGAACACTGTCCTCACTTACATGGTGCCCTTGTTTAGTGCCCAACTTGTGCAACTATGTATGACAGCCCTACCCTTCTCCCCCTCTCTCAGCTGATATGACTTGTGCGGCTTTTTCCTGCCATTTATACTAACATGTATTCATATATCTGCAGGCAAAAAATGAGTATGACATTTTTGTTATTATTATTCTATAACTTGCTAACTTCACTTACCCAAATGTTTGAGCACTATCATGAAAAGAGATAGATCTAGCTTTCCTTCAAGTGAATTTGACCCCCTGGTCTTCACCCCACCTGCCTAAACCAAGAGTCTTTTCTCTCTCCCCTACTTTTTTATCCAAGAGTTCAGCACAACATTCATTTGCACAAAAAGGATGCCCCAAGCCTCCACCCTTCCATCTCCAAGGCTCTGGGACAGGCATCTGGATACAGATGCCATGGGAGTGAGGAAGAGGTGCCCCACATACCTGACAGTGACATCAGCCTGGAGCCCAAACAGCTTCTGCTCTAGGGCCTTCCGGAAGGACATCAGCGTGTGCTCTGGGGCAAGCTGGGGAGGAAGGAGTGTGAGGGCTCATGTGCCGGGCTGGGTTAGCCTGGTTGTCATTCTAGCTCCTCTACCCAGGAGCTACATGACCCAGGGAACTCACAGCGCTTCTCGGAAGCTCTATCTCCTCACCTGCTAAGTCATAGCCACCTTGAAGGGTGTTTTTTTGGAAGCAAGGCAGACATGATAGTTTGTGTGGATATGTACAAATACCTGACATATAGCTAACACTTAATAAATAGTAGCCCTGACTGTTAACTCATCCCTTCTCTACCAAGGTACTACTCTATACTCTGGAGGCAGGAATCCTTTTCACAGGCCTAGGAGTCCAAAACAACGTGTGAGGCATGGAGACTGAACACTTTCTTCCCTCTTGATTATTCCCTGGTGGAGGAAGACAGGGTGGAGTTTCAGTGGGGTGACAAGTTTCCTCATCTATACAAACAGCACTATTCTAGAATGACACATGAACCAAGTCCCTTTGCACATCACCTGACTGACACAGAAAATGATTTAGAATGGCAAGCCTGTGGCAGAGGTATGGAACATCCAGCTATAGCCTTGACTCTACAGATCTCCGTTTGCATACTGGTTCCTCATCTGCCCTGGGGGATACGCTCACCATTCTCTGAGGTCTTCAGGCTGGGAGAATCAGGGTTCTCTTTCTCTCCTTGGCTGTCCTACCCTTTGCTGCCACTGGGGGTCAGCACCGAACTAGGAATTGGGTTAAGGCCAGGTGCCTGGGGCTGGAGCACAGAGAGAGGGAGGGTGGGAAGATGGATGAGGGGATCAAGAGTGCAATGGATTCCCCCAATTGCTCTCAATTCCACCTTATCTCTCTCTGACCACAACACTCCCCTCTGCTGGGAGGCAGCCAGGGAATGACAAGGGCTTTGGAGTTGGCAAGAAGGAGCAATCTACTTCCCATTGGGCAGCCTGAGGCCTCAGTTTCTTTAGCTATATAAAATGGGCTCATGTTATCCACCTGGTAGGCATGATAACAGATGCCGGAGACCTGAGACCAGAGACTTGCACACAGTAGGCACTTCATAATGTAAGCTCTTCTCTTTCTCCATTCTTGGAGCTGAGCTATTAAACACCTTCAGAGTCAGCCTGGGTTTGGTGCTGATCTCTTATACAATAGCATGGAATCCTAGCCTTCACTTCCTAGGCTTTAGAAGTCTCCCAAATCACATGGGTGGAATTCTGGATCTTCATCTCAGAGCTCCCACCTCCCTCTGGCAAGTCTAAAGAGGGTCCTGCTGCCCGGAGCACATAGGGGGGAAGTAGAAGGGTACATTCTCGCTAGCAGAACAGTATGTGAGAGCCTCTTCTGTGGATCTAGTCCTCCAAATACTGAAGTCCACACAGGGACAACACATGGGACACACTGACAGAGGGGTACACTCAGGGTTACTGCAATCAGAACCCCATGAACAACCATCTGAAGACCCACTGACGAGACACATGATGCACAGGGACAGAGGCGGTCCTAGTTGATGCCTCAAAACCCATCACTAAGCTGCGTGCTAGTGGCTCACAACTATCACCCTAGCTATTCAGGAAGCTGAGACCTGAGGACTGTAGGTTTGAAACCAGCCTGGAAAGAAAAGTCCATGATATTTCATCACCAGTTACTCAGCAAAATGCTGGAATGGAGGCATGGCTCAAGGGAGAAGAGTATCAGCCATGAACAAGAGCCTGAGGCCTCGAGTTAAAAAAAAAAAAAAGAAGCCACCAGTAAAAGTTGACCTCACAGGAGAAAGATGGAGTAAAACAGTGATTAACAGAGGCTGGGACGGGTTGGGGAGAGGAGGGGCTAGGAGAGGCAGGAGGAATAAATTCTGGTAGTCAATGGCATGTAGGGAGACTATAACAAGTAATAATTTACTGTACATTTCAAAATAAGAGAAAAATTTGTATTGTTTCCAAAATATAAAATGATAAATTTTGAGGAGTTATATACGCCAATCACCTTGATTTGATCACTACATATTGTACTCATGTATGGAAATAACATGTCATGACCCATACATATGCACAGTTCAAACAAATAAATGATCAAATAAACATCACAAGGATGCAGTAAGCCAGATGCACACTGTGAGAAATTCTGTAGGACAAATGACAGCTTGGGCAGATCAACAGCATAAGGAGAAATAGGGAGGGGATGATCATCCACTACAAGATACTTAGGAGCCAGGCATTACCCAGATGGATTTCTAACAAGTGAACTATAAAAAGATGTTTTGGAGACAACAAAGGAAAATTGAACATGGATTTGCTATTAGATCATATTAAGGAATCACTGTTAATTTGGTTAGGTATAATAACAGCATTGTGGTTGAAAAAAAATGTACTTAGCCAGGTGTGGTGACTCAAGCCTATAATCCTAGCTCTTTGGGAGGCAGAGATGGGAGATCATGGTTTTCAGTAGCATGCACCTGTCATTCCCAAAGAGAATAGAAGGTGCCAGTGCCAGCACAGGAAGGGATGGGAGGGTACCAAGGTCCAGCTCACAGGGTCTAGCCTGTGAGTCATCTAGAAAATAATAACCCCCAGTTCATGTGTGGGGGAGGACTTTCAGGAGGATTTGCAGCTCTTTGGATATATTTTTCTTTCTTTCCTTCTTTCTTTCTGCTTTTTCTTTTTCATAGTGCTGGGGATAGAACTAGGGTCTCACCCATGCTAGGCAAGTGCTCAGCTACACTCTTAACCCAGACGTATTCTTTTAACATCATGGTTTTGTACAGTCACTTTACTACCCAGTGGCACAGTGGAATGCCCCAGATGCCCCCTAGGGGTGGAGACTGATACTGTTCCTGCTGAGAAGCTGAGTTCAAAAGAGAGGCTTAAAGGGATCCCAATAAATACCAGGAACTTCCTAGTAGACAGTGCATATCTGGATACTGCTATGTTACTTCCTGCTTCTCACACCCTGCAGTGGGCACTGTCAATAATCCCATGGTACAGGAGGGCGCCAGGCACAGAGTAGACAGAACTCCTCTGGTTCCCATAGCCAGTTAGGGGCTAGGCTGGGCTCCTGCCCAAGCAGCAGGGCTCTGGAGCCTGTCCCCTCAGCCTTGGCTCTCCTGCAGAGTACAGGACATCTCAGTGGTCGGACCCCATACTGACTTTAACGGTCTTTTCTTTCCATTTCAGCCTGGCTCAACTGCCTTCTCTGGGGAGCTGTGCCAGCCTCTCTTCCCCTTGGGCCTGGCACAATATCAGTTGCCTGGCTGCAGCCCCAGGCCCTTTACCCAACAGCCCTCTCCTGGTCCTCTTGACCTAAGAGCCTAAAACCCTCCTGCACTTCCATGCCTCAGGATAAGAGTTCAATCTATCTAGTGAGATATTTTCTGGGATCTTTCCCTTTGGTCCCATCCAGGTTCTCTGGGATTTCCACCTGTCCTTCTGATACAGTTTTCCCATCGCTCTAGGGTCTGTTTCTGTTATTGTGCTAATATGTCACCTCTATTTCCTGGCAAAGCCTTCTCCTGGAGTGGCTGCTGTGCCCACGCCCACACACTCTGTTAGGACATTTGGGTGGCACTCACCATGGGGGCCCCGCGGTGGCCAATGAGAGCAGGCTTGGGGCCCAGATCCTTTTTCTCCATGATGCAGGGAGAGGAGATGGTGAGAGGGGCCAGGTAGAGGGCAAAGACCACAGCGAAGAAGGTACAGAGGATGGTCACCTGGGAGGCTGCAGACATGGGCCATGAACACTGGGCTCCCTCTAGCCCCAACCAGAGCCCTTGAGTAGGGGTTTAGGGTGCAGGCTCAGAGGGACAGTCTTTTTGTGTGGCACATGTGCCCACTCTGATATGGGGTCGAGTCGGAATACAGTGCAAGGCTGATGGCATCTACGGGCCAGTCTCAGCCAGACCTCCACAATGAGGGATCCACCTCAGCCCCAAGCTTCCCAGGTAGAGTCTCTTGGAGGCAGCCCACCCAGGGAGTGATGGGAGGAGCAGGCCCTGCCCTGAGTACTCACAAGATCGTTCTGCACGGGCAAACTGTCCTGCCACGATCCAGGATAGTGCAGTGATGGCCACCAGGGCACCCATGTGCAGGAATGGAGCTGTGCCCTGTGTGTGTGGAAAGGTAAGAGGCTCCTGGGTCTCCTAGTCATGCCCGTGCCCACTGACAACCCATTTCTACCCACAGGGCAGGCAACCCTGTCTTCATTTGCTAGCTGCAAACACTGGGAATCCAGGGGTCCTGGGTTGGAGCATCCTCTCTGCCTCAGTCCTACAGTGTGACCTGAGACCCCTCCTTATCCCACTGCAGAAACAGGAATGATTTTTTAAAAAAGGTGTTGCTGCATGGGAATTGAGGGTATAGCTCAGTTGGTTTGGCACTTGTCTAACATGCTCAAGGCTCTGGGTTTGGTTCCCAGCATAGCAACTGTCAATAAACCAATCAATATCCTTGTTTGACACATGACTGATATTGTATGATTTTTTAAAAAGATGCTGCCTGTTGCATTGGTCCTGGAAAAGTCACCCACCCCACTCACCTGCAAGGAGATGAGCAGTACCTCCCACTCGTCCTCCCACAGCTGAGCCACTGCTGACATGGCCACCACCGTGGAAGCCAGGATGATCACCAGCCCAATCTGGAAGGGGGAGGCATCAAACAGGAGGTCAGAACAGTAAGGGTGGGTGAAGGTAACCCCAAAAGATGGTCACAGTAGAAGTGGAGCAAGCTGGAAAGGCACAGGAAGCAGAGAAGGACAGGCAGAGGGTGAGGACAGCCAGAGGCAGAGGCACGAGGAGCAAGCAGACCTTGGAAGGAAGTGACATGGATAAAAGAGAGTGGAGAGAAGGCAGGAGGCTTCTGCTAAGAAGAGGCCCTGAAAAGGGCCTCTCAGGCCTACCCATCCCTCTTGGCAACCTAGACGGAAGATCACATTCTCCAGCCTTGCCCAGGGCACAGGGCAGGGGCCAGGTATGTGACCACTCTTACATGGGGGCTGCATTCTGTCTCAGCAACAAGGCTTTTTTTTTTCAATCTGGCTCTCCCTAGCATCTGGCTTCAAATGTATTCTGCAGAAACAGAGGAATAGAGCCTTGACAGAGGGCAGGGCCACCTGAAGGACACAGAGACCTCCAGGGACAGATGGCATCTGCAACCGCCAAATAAGCTTGGTTTTCTGCTACTCCCCCTCCCAAGTTGTGGTCTCACTGCTCACCTGCCCACCCCATAACACCTGGCTTATCTCCATAAGGCCCACACTTCAACTGACCTCCACGCCCTCTCATTGTGAACCTCTCAGCTCCTCTCCCATGACATGCCTACTCTCTAAGTCATCCTCAACCTCTTCTCCCACATGGCTTTTGCTATTGCCAGCAGCACTCTGAGACCCTCTGACCATGAAGCAAGGGCTAAAAGTGAGGGAAGAAATGGCAACCTGCCTGTCTTTTCTCCCTACCAGGAAGGAAAGATGAATTCTCATCTGGGATTAAGTTTTCCTTTGGAATCCTGTCATTCAGACCATCAGCCTGGAAATAAATCCCACCCTCTCCCTGCAAATTCCCTCTCCCCTTAAGAAACAGTACCAAGGCTGAGGCAGGGCTTTCACAGGCTGTAATGTGCCATGTGAAGATGAGGGCCAATAAGGGAATGCAGGTGCACTTCTGAGTCTACCTGAGCACTCCATCTAATGAGTGAGGCCTTTTGGGCTCCATTTTACCCTGTGCTTCTTCTCAGGGATCAGGCTTCTGTCCGGGGCGGGGGGGGGGCGTTCAAGGAGTTCCTAACAATCCCCAAGAAGGAGGCCACCCAGGCCTTCTCCTCCAGGCCATAGACCTGCCACCTTGCTGTCCTATGAGAACATGGTATTGGGGTTTCTGTCCTGAAGACTGTGAAGGCAGGGGAGGGATAGAGGTTGCAGTGGAATGCTCATTCAGTCATTCATTCACGTACGCATTCAGTTAGTCTCCCTTGGGTGCTAGGGTCTGAGAGGAGTTGGAACCCAGACTTGCAGTTGGTTGGCTTTTTGGTGGGGAGGGGTGTCTGACTTCTAGATCTGGGGACCCCATGGCAGATAGTTGGTCCAGAATGACAAGTCACACTTGAGTCTCATTTCTGGGTCATATGTGCTGCTCAAGGGGAGGGTAACATCGCCAGAGATTTCCTCCACCCCCTTGCTGGGACATGGGGCCGGTGAATGCCTACCTAGAAGGCTAAAAGTAAATGAGACAATGTAAGTGTGGTGCTTAGCACCATGGATGCCACGAAGTGGTGTCATTTTCAGTGACAGCAACTGAACAGGTAATGATGAGGAATCAATGAATAAGGTGAGAAGTGCCTGATGCATACAGTTAATGACATTATGATAAACAGTGCCTGCATACAGGAAACTCTCAACTGTGCCTTCTGTGAGAAGGTAGGAAGGTCAGAGGCTAAATGCCAGAAACCTAACAGATGGACTGGCTGTGAGAGAGAAGTCTGAGTTCACCTGGAGTGCTGATGAAGTACCCATGGCTGAGGCTGGATCCAGCCTGTGCTGGGGTAGAAGCACCAAACCTGCCCAGCGCAGCCCAGCCCAGCCACCAGGGCATACGGAGTCCGGTGCTTCTCTCTGGGTCTCCATCTGGGTTGCTGACAAAACCCTCCTCCGCCATGCAGGCCCTGGGCCACCACTGCTGACCCTATGGTAGAGTAGTCAGGGGACCACATCCCCAGAGCAGTGTGATGTGTTTGGGAATACAACAGGACAGCTGAGGGGGTGTGGGTATGGGAGCTGTGACTGGCACCTTTCAGAAGTGACATCTGAGCAACTTTCGGATTGGGGGTTGACAGAAGGAATATCTCAGGGAGGAGCCTCCTTTTTACCTAAAACCCTTCCGAATACCTCAACCTTCTCCTTACTTCCTATGTCTCTGCACTTATCCTGGAGGTCACCTGGGAGAGGTTTCTAGGAGACAGAAGCCTGGGTGGACTGAGAAAGAGGAGAATGAATGGTCCCAGGATCCATTCACAGCACCGAGCATGTGTGTGTGGCTCCTTGCCTGCCCAGACCTGAGCCCTCAGTCTTCTCCTCAGGACTCAGGGGGACCACGACCTCAAAATACAAGTTCTGACTGGTGGCTCATGCCTGTAATTGTAGCTACTCAGGAGGTTAAGACCTGAAGATCACGGTTCAAAAGCCAGCCTGGGCAGAAAAGTATGTAAAATTCTTATCGCCAATTAACCACTAAAAAGCTGGAAACAGAGATATAGCTGAAGTAGTAGAGGGCTAGCCTTGAGCAAAAAAGCTCAAGGACAGTGCATAGGCCCTGAGTTCAAGCCCCAGGACTAGGATAAAGCAATGATCAAAGTCATCTCCATCAGACTAGAGGGGAAAGGGTGGAGACAGCTGGGAATGTTGGGAGCCATCTAAAGAGAGCCAAGATCACACTATGCCTCAAAATAACTCCCAAGGAGATAAAGAATTTAAATGTCAAAAAAGTGAAAAAATAATTACTAAGCGATACCACAGAAAAATTCTGTATAATTTTGGAATGGGAAAGACCTTTCCAAGTCTGACACAAAACTAGGGGCCAGACAAAAAAGAGATGACAGGCTCAAATCCTCAAGAATTAAAATAAAAAAATCCCTATGACACAAATCCTTATGGCACAATAAGCAAAGTCAAAGGTAAATGACAAACTAGGAAATATCTGCTGTTCACCAGCCAATGGACTGATTGCCCAAATCTATTCAGAGTTCCTACAAATTAATAAACAGAAAGCGAATCCCATGACAAAAAAGGCAAGGGATATGAAGAGACAGCTCAAAAATGCCAGTGACTCAGGACTGTGGACGACAGATACCAACTCAACATAAAGGAAATGCAGACAGAAAGCACAGTGTGGTACCACTTTCCACCCATTAGATTGGCAAAAACCAAGAAATAAGCCTGAAAATACCCTGTGGGCAAATTTTAAAATTAATTAATGTTTGTGTGCAGGTAATTGGGGCTTGAACTCAGGGCTTGGTGCTTTCCATTAGCTTTTTCACTCAAGGCTGGTACTGTACCACTTACACCATACCTCTACTTCAAGCTTTTTGTTGGATAATTGGAGATGGTGTTTCTCGAACTTGTCTACCTGGGCTAGCTTTAAACCTCGATCCTCAGAGCTCAGCTCCTGAGTAGCTTGGATTGCCGACATAAGCCACCAGCACCAGGCTCTGTCAAGGACTTCTTTTTTTGTCAGTTCTGGGGCCTGAACTCTGGGCCTGGGCGCTGTCCCTCAGCTCTTCAGCTCAAGGCCAGCGCTCTACCACTTGAGCCACACACAGCGCCACTTCTGGCTTTTTCTGCCTATGTGGTGCTGAGGCCTCATGTACACAAGGCAAGCACTCTACCACTGAGGCACCTTCCTAGCCCTGGCAAGGACTTTTTATAGGCATAAACCATACATTGTCCAGGGAGCATGGATTGTTAGCACTTGGCAGGGAAGGCATAAAAGTAAACTCAGGCAGGAAAGTCCATGAGGCTATTACCTCCAATTAATCATCAAAACACCAGAAGTGGCACTGTGACTCAAAGTGGCAGAGTGCTAGCCTTGAATGAAAAAGCTCAGGGACAGAGCCCATGCCCTCAGTTCAAGCCGCACAAATGACAAAAAAAAAAAAAGTAAACTCAGGAATTCTCTTCTGGGTCACTGCCAGACTGCCTTGCCCAAGGACAGAAAGGATTTTTGGGGGGCCACTAGCAGAGGACTAGCTAAACACTCATGGAATTAGAAAATATACAGGTCACGAACAAAGCCAAGGGACAGACACTAGGAAAAAGTGCTCTTAATATACTTAAAAAAGAGCTCCACACAGTTGGTGAAGGGGAAAGACAGAAAATCCAGTGGACTATGTATGTATGAAAAATAAAAAAGGAAATGTATATTTGGATATGCTTAAGTTGTCTCTGGAAAGGGCTGGGCATGGTGGCTCAGTTCCAGAAATGCAAAAACTCTGAATGTAAAGACAGGAGGATTGCAGTCTGAGGACAGCTTGGGCAATGTTAGCACAAAAATCTGTCTGAAAACTAAAAGCAAAAAGGAATGGAAGTGTGGCTCAAGTGGTAGAGCATTCGTCTAGCAAGCTTGAGGACCCAGGTTCATTCCCCAGTACCGTCAGTGCCTCTAGAAAGATAGAACAATTATCATTATATACTCTAGTGTCTTAAGTTTTGAACCATGTTAACATATTGCCTGGTCAAAAATGAATTAAAATGAAACAAGCAAATAAACCAAAGGAATAAGTTTTCCTTAGGATATTGGAATCCAATCCTGGAATCTTGGAAGCAGAATGCATACATAGAATTTCCTGCTGAGAAGTCCTTCTCTCCTGGCATGGCTGTCCCAGAGATGGGTCAGCTCTGCCCAAGAAGTCTTTTCTCTTGCTTAGATCTCATGGGAGGGCCAGGGGAACAGGAAGGCTGGCCTCCTTCCCCCTAGGAGGGAATACTGGTGAGGAAGACAGGATCTAACTCCTGGCATTGATCCACCACCTCCGGCTGGCTCAGTGGCTTCTAACAGCCTCTCTCTAGGATCAAACAGGTGTACCCTGACCTACTGAGATGCAGGCATGACTTCAGGAGGTGACCACAGCATGTGCCAGCCCATCATCTGTGCCAGCTGGTGCAGTCCTTTCAAGTGTCAGTTTTGCATCTGGGAAAAGAAAATGGCTCACAGGGGAGGCCATAAAAGCCTAGGATACTGTGATCAGTGGGAGCAAGGTGGATGGGAGCAGGAGTTACGTGTTGCTCTTCACCCCTGGAACACTTCAGTCACTTGGGTCAGGCCTAGCTCCCAACTCTGTGAATAACTGAACTGCTTCCATGATTCTTGGCTTCTTACTCCCCATGTCCAACCAAGCTCACCCTGTCCCTCTTCTTCTTCCTGTTCTATTTCCCTTCTCAGTTGGAAGTGAGGCCTTTGCCTTGGAGTCACTTGATCTATCTTTGGGTGTTTCTGGACACTTCTGCCCTTCCTACGTGCCCCCTGTGAGTAGGCTCTGGGAGAAGAGATAACCCAGCTCTCCTTCCATGGCCCACTGCTCCTGGGGCTCTGTCTCCATCAACCTTGTACCTTGCTGTACCCTGTTCCAGGAGAACCAGCATTAAATACTTACACTCAGCACCAAGTGTGTAAGACATGATGGTGAGTCTCTGGTCTCAAATATAAAGCCTGCCTGTGTTGGGCCCAGCCCTGAGTGGGACACTGGGGACAGCACAGTGGTCAATGGCAACCTAGCCCGTAAGGAACATCAAGATGGACTGGGTTGGGAAGGAGGAACCCAATGGACATCAGATAGCACAGATGCCTGGAGATATAGCAGGGCAGATCACAGGGGCTAGGTAGAAGCCCCTACCCATGAAAGAAAGTTGCCTACATAAGTGAGGAGTAACACCCAAGGGGCCAGAAGAATGAGTGATCAAGGGCAAAAGCAAAGGGCTAAAAGCAGAGAAAGACCGGGGGCTAAAGATGTCTGAGTCAACAGATGCTGAGGAGCCAGGAGACACTGGCAAGGCCAGATCAGGACCATGGGAGGATCTAGATCATCCTGGGAGCCATGGGAATTGGAGAGAAGGCTTTAAGAAAACAACAGTGCAGATAAGAGTCCACTGAAGAACAGAGAGAAAGTCAAGGGATAAAGCAGAGCCAGCCAACAGCCAGGGCTCCAATGGAAGCTGGGATTCATGCTGGTGAAGCACATAGCTCCAAGACTAGAACCTCCAACCCCACTCATACCAGGAGACAATAGGCATGTCACTCAACCTCTCTGTACCTCAGTTCTCCCACCTGCAAGTGTGTTGGTGACTGGGCCTACATCACAAGGCTATAATGAGGGTTGAGCGAATGCAGGCCGGGCTACAAAGACAGGGTCTGGCACACATCTAGTGTGCTCAGTGTGAGCTACTAGCACAGTTGATAGCCTGGATAAAAAGGAAGGATGCCTTGCACAGGGTCTTTCTCTGCCTCCTCCAGTTTCCCATCTCCTCCCCAGCTCCAGCTGAGCATCCTTCTTACCTTGTGCAGCCAGTGGAGGTTCATCTGCTGTCCCACAGCAATGTGACATAGTGCCAGGACCTGAGGAGGGCCAGAGGGGCAGTCAGGTTGTGGAATGGTGAGACCATGCCAGCTCCCAAGATACCACCCTGATCCATACTCCTGCCCTCAGCCTGCCCCAGGGCAGGCAGCAAGATTGCCATGTCCTGTCCAGCCAGCAGAGGCATGGCTTGGCTTCCTTTGAGATTAGTCTAGGCTCTTCCCCTGGGGTTTGTCACTTAAGAGGTCACTGAGTCCTAGTGCACTTGGATTACCCAACTTAATTCATGCAAGGTTTGGGAGTTTCAAGCCCTAGGATTCTGAAAAAGAATTGTCTGCAAGAAGCCCCCAGTCCAGAACGGCCTGAACATCAGTGAATAGAACAGAGGGACTGGGAAGCCCCAAAGCCCAGTTTCTGGAAGAGGATATCTGCTCTAAAAGCCAGGATGGTTTTATTGTTTGTTTGTTTGTTTTTGGGTCCAGTCATGGGGCCTGAACTCTGGGCCTGGGCGCTGTCCCTCAGCTCTTCAGCTCAAGGCTAGCACTCTACCACTTGAGCCACAGCGCCACTTCCGGCTTTTTTCTGTTTGCTTATGTGGTGCTGAGGAATCAAACCCAGGGCCTCAGGCATGCAAGGCAAGCGCTCTACCACTGAGCCACCTTCCCAGCCCCCAGGATGGTTTTACTGGGCTGGGAGGGAGGCTTCTTGGAGAGGCGGTTCAGAGACTGGCAAATTAGGATCTTCCACCTTGAAAGCCCCAGGACTCAGGCCCGAGAAGCAGCTGGAGGGGCTCTGGGCAGAACCAGCTTCAACATATAGACCAGTACAAGGCCCTCCATCAGTCAGGCACAGGCCAAGGCTTCCTTCCCTGGGGAACAGGGCTACCCTTCCACGCACCCCACCCCACCCCCATACCAGAAGGCCTGCAATGTACGTGAAGGCAGCAGATGTGGTCACGAGGATGGGCACAGACCAGTCACTCCAGTAACCCATGCGATTGTAAAGGTACCTGTGGGGGTAAAGGGACAAGGGTCAGACCTCCACTGGGCCTCTGCCTGGCCCAGGAGATTATCAGCTGGGCAGACCATAGGCTGGGCTTGGCAAGCAGGCCTTGCCCATCCCATAATAGCACCCAGTATTCCTCTCATCATCAGCCATGCCTGCTTCTTGGGGGACACTAGAAGACCAAGAAGCATGAAGAAAAAAAGAACAATTCACCAAGATTCTACTGTCACAAAGTAACCATTACCAAGACTGCTGGGTTTCCTTCCCATGGCCTATTCTGGATGTTTGTATGAACTGCAAAGCCAGGAGAGCTATCAGTACAGCTTCCTGGGAGGCATCCACCCAGGGCTCCAAACCATTCAGCCTCCTGCTGGAGAAGGCATCAGGCTTCACAGATTCAATGCCCTAGGTTGTGACATGCCTCAATTTAATGTTCAAATGTGAAAGTGTGGGGTCTTGGAATTGACCTGATCTTTTTTTGGGGGGAGGTGGGGCTAGTACTGAGGTTTAAACTCAGGGTCTCCAGTTCTTATTTGCCTTTTTTCAGAGCTGGTACTCTATCACTTGAGCCACACCTCCAAATCTGGGCTTTTTGTAGGAAATAAGAGTCTTGAAGACTTTTTTTTTTTTTTGCCCACGTTGGCTCTTTTTTTCTTTTTTGGTGGGGGTGGGAGGTGTCAGTCGTGGGTCTCGAATTCGGGGCCTGGGCACTATCCCTGAGCTAGCTCAAGGCTAGCCACTTGAACCACAGCGCCACTTCCAGTTTTCTGGTGGTTAATTGAAGATAAGTGTCTCATGGACATTCTTGCCCAGGCTGGCTTTGAACCATGATCCTCAGATCTCAGCCTCCTGAGTGGCTAGGATTAGAGGCGTGAGCCACCAGCACCTGGCTAACACCTGACTTCTGAGCCTTCCTCTCCTCATTCTATCATGGGAATAAGAATAAAAGCTGCAATTCCCAGGGTCTGCAGAGGACACAGGAGGTGAGGCACGTTCTAGGCACCCCACTAACACTGCTTCAACAAACGTTTACTGGTGTTGGTAAAAATGTTGAGGAAATGGGAGATTTTTTTAAAAAATAGACACGAGGTCTTCTATTGAATTCATGTACCATATATAGCCAACTGCCTATTCATGGCACTTCATCATTTCCAATGATTCACTATTATAAATTAACATAAAAGTGAAAAAATGTGTACATATCTTTTTGAAGTTCTGATACTTAGGGAAGATTCGTATAAATAGCATTGCAGGGGCAAAGGGAGTGAACTTAAAGTTCCTGGTGGATCCAGCTTAGCTGTTCTCCACATCTATCCTCCTCTTCTAACTAAGAAAATGGAGGATCAGAGGAGGCAGAAACTTTCTCCAGGGTCACTTGTGAATATGAGCCAATGCTAAGCCATTTCAGCCTGCTGCCAACTTGGGCCCTGGCAGAGGGCTGGGAGATGAACCCAGCAAAACCCCAGAGTCTGCCCCCTTCTCAGGGCCTCAGTCTCACAGACCAGGGGAAGACTGACCAGGGGAAGATCAATTAATACATATCTTCTTGCAGAGTTGGGGAAACTGAGGCTTGAAGAGGGATAGGACTTGGTAATTCACCTTGTGGCTTCACCAGCCCACTTGTCTTTCAAGTACAGCCACTAGGGGCAGTAATTGCCCAGATACCCCTGTACCCTTCTTTGTCCTCTGGAATCTTGCTCACATTCTCTTAGTGTATGAACTGACTCCAGAGGCCCTCAAGATCATGAAGGCTTGATCAGGCTCTCCTGAACTCCAATAGTAGGCCTCCAAGAAAGAGGCAGCAGGTGAAGGAGCTGCAGGTCTCAGGTAAGCCACCTCCCCAACAGGACAAATGTTCACCCTCTGTGAGGTCTCCTGGGGATAGGAAGCTCTCTTGAGAAGAGTGGGATGACATCATGAGCCATGAGTCATAGTTGGCCAGGCTCAAGTCCCCATCTCAGATCTGTTTGTATCTGGCCCTGTGATCTTTTTTTTTTTTTTTTTTTTTGTGGTCCGGTCGTGGGGCCTGAACTCTGGGCCTGGGCGCTGTCCCTCAGCTCTTCAGCTCAAGGCTAGCACTCTACCACTTGAGCCACAGCACCACTTCCGGCTTTTTTTCTTTTTGCTTATGTGGTGCTGGGGAATCGAACCCAGGGCCTCAGGCATGCAAGGCAAGCGCTCTACCACTGAGCCACCTTCCCAGCCTGGCCTTGTGATCTTATAAAGGCTCTTTAACCAACTCAGACTGCCCTGTGTATGTGTCCTTGGCAGTGACTGGTTGGATGGCCATACATGAGCCCTGTCCTTCTTTGGGCCTCTTTCCCATCTGTACGTGGTTTTCACTGTGATCTTCCAGTTCAGCTGAACTGTCCTGTCTGCCACTGGGGCCAGCAAGGAAGGTCCCCATTTACTCACAATGACACCTGCATTTTGGACACCGCAAAGATGAGTAATGATTTATAACATTTAATAAAGACCAGAGGCCACCTCTGGGAATTGGCTTAGAGCTCTGGTTCACCTTGTGTGGCTGTTGTGGGGCACGTCCTTTATTGTGCTAGTTAACTGCAGTGGCCAGGATACTCACAGAGCCCAGATCCATGTCCTATCAGAAGTGAGTCTGAGAGCCCTATGCACTTAATATCACACCCACCTTCCAGTAGTAAGCTCCACCTCCCAGAAAGCAGCCCTCACATCCAGAGGAGCTCTGAGCCCTTCCTGTCCATCAGGCCACCTTATCCTCAGAGCAGCCTTGGTGAAATTGAGTTACCCACTTGTGCTGAAGAGGAAAAAGCTGAGACAGTACCACAGGTTTGCTCTTGGTCATATGACTATATTTTTGTTTATTCATTGGCTTTTTATTTTTTTATTTTTTGGGTCCGGTCGTGGGGCCTGAACTCTGGGCCTGAGCACTGTCCCTCAGCTCTTCAGCTCAAGGCTAGCGCTCTACCACTTGAGCCACAGCACCACTTCTGGCTTTTTCCTTTTTGCTTATGTGGTGCTGAGGAATCGAACCCAGGGCCCCAGGCATACAAGGCAAGCGCTCTACCACTGAGCCACCTTCCCAGCCCCATGTTCATTGGTTTTTTGTTTTTTTGGGGGGGGTCCGGTTGTGGGCCTGGGCGCTGTCCCTCAGCTCTTCAGCTCAAGGCTAGCGCTCTACCACTTGAGCCAGGGCGCCACTTCCAGCTTTTTTTCTTTTTGCTTATGTGGTGCAGAGGAATCGAACCCAGGGCCTCAGGCATGCAAGGCAAGCGCTCTACCACTGAGCCACCTTCCCAGCCCCTGTTCATTGGCTTTTTAAAGCTAGGTTTTGCTCTGTAGCCCAGACTGGCCTCAAACTCATAATCTTCCTGCCTTAGCTTCCCTACAGGTGTGCATCCCTATACCAGCTTACCTAAAGTTCCAATACCAATATTTTTGTGTGTATATATGTATGTGCCTGTCCTAGGGTTTGAACTCAAGGCCTATCCACTGACCCTGAGCTAAAGTTTAGTACTCTATCACTGGAGCCACAGCTCCACTTCAGGTTTTTCTGGTAATTAATTGGAGATTAAGAGTCTTACAGACATTCTTGCCTAGGCTGGCTTTGAACTGTGATCCTGAGAGCTCAGCCTCTTGAGTAGGATTACAGGCATAAGCCACTGGTGCTCAGCTTCCACTATCAATTTGATAGGTAAATATGAGCCAATGGTGTTGTTGTTGTTGCTACTGGCAGTACTGTAGTACCTGAAGCTATTCAGGGCCTTGTGTTTTCATGGTCTGCCACTAGACCATGCCCTAGTCTACCACCTGACATTGTGATCAGCATTAATGGGGAGGGAGCAGGCCTGGTTCCCAAGCCAAATTGCTCCCAACTGACTGTGTGATTTTAAGCCTGCTTCTAAATTTGCCAAGGAAGGGGTTCCCACTAGAAAGAACCTGGGGTCTCCTACTTTCTCTCATGTCCTTTATTTATTTAACAAAAGGCCAGCAAGGAGGCAGAAACAAGAGACTTTCTCAGAGACTTTCCTGCCCAGGCTGGCTTCGAACCTAGATTCTCATATCTCAGCCTCCTGAGGCGTGAGCCTCCCTTCACATCTCTGTAGACCTGTCATGTAGGCTGTTACCCACACAAATTTGCCACCTCTAGGAAACCTTCTCAAAGTTCCAGAGGGGATGACTTCAGGCTCTGGTCTCTCTCTTTTTCTGCCCTGCCAGCCTGTGATGTCTAAAACCCTGCAAGTGGGCAGGATACAGACTCAAGGTCACACAGGGCCTGAGGTCGTACGGAGCCCTGAGGACCACCCTGGGAGAGAGGCCCAAACTGGAGTCCCCAGGTCCCTACTCCACTCACCAGTTGAATTCGTCGTAGTCATTGTGGACTTCCCACCAGAAGTAAAGCCAGGTGAGTGTGAGGCCAAAGGTGAAGGTGAGCAGCAGGAACCAGAGGCGCTCCCACTGGAAGGCAAAGGAGAAGGATAGGAGTCAGTGGGGGCCCAGAGCTGTTCTTTGGGGTTCCTCCCTTCATGCCCTCACCTACCTCTCTTCCTCCCACTTTGTGGCCACATCTGCCAGGTAGCGTTAATGCACCCTTGGCTCTGGTATGAAACTGAGGTTCAGAGAGGAGAGGTGATCTGTCCAACATCACAGAGCCCAAAGTCATAAACACAGCTGTGCTCTAACTGCAGCCTGAGGCCTTTCCAGTATGTGTTATCCTCCTGTTCTGATGATGGCCTCCCTAGGACTGATGATGACCCCTAGAAATAAAGGCCGTTGGCAGCAACCTGTAGCCTCTGAAGTCACATCCCTCACTTGCTCTGCCCTTATACATGTTCCTAAATAGGTTTTTTCCCTACTTCTACTCCATGCTACTGGTAAAAACATTGAAGCCCTGAGAGGCCAAGTGATTTGTCCAAATCACATAGCAAGTTGGTGGGGGCCAGTACCCTAACCTCTAGACTGGAACAAATGTACCTCTTCCATAGGCACTGGTACTTCAAGGCCACGTCAGGTTGTCCCTTTGTCTCCAGCCAGGATAAGAGTAAGGGGACACAGAATCTGTCACCACAGCGTCCGGAGGCCATGGCTCAGAGGTCCACAGGTGTTTCCTTCTGCTGGAGCCCTCTGGTCTCCCCTCCCCCCTTTTATCCTTCTGTTCCTTATCTGGGAAGCACAACAAGCCCAGATATCCTGTTCTGGGACTCTGCTGCAGCCATCAGAGTCAATCAGCAGCCTTGAGGGGAAGCAGGGTGAGAACTCAGACTAGTCTCCTCTGGGGGACAGAACTGTGGAAGTCTTATCTATCATGCTACGTGTGGACCCCTCATCTCCCAAACTTCATTAGCTAACTAGTTCCTTCATTCCCTTCAGACATGTTCCTCTAACATTGCCATTTCCTTTGGAGTCAGCTCCAAATATCACCTCTTCTGGGAAGCCCTTCTGTCTCGCCCCATACCATTGTGCCCCCTCTGTGCTCCACAGCATAGTGTTCCTCAGTCTTTACATCTGAACTCAGTACCCTGACCTGGGTACTGACCCTGACAGGGTCCCAAAAAGACTGGAACTGAGTCTGCCTTTACCCCATTAATTTTGGTGATTGAGAGAGAGAAGGAGACTGCAGGAAGGGGAAAAAAATTTCCCTGGCTACTCAGAACACCTCCAGCCATTCTGCCTAGAGATACCTCAGTGAAGGGGTTAAATTCAGCATTTGGAACCAGACTGCCTGGGAACTTCACATTCCTATCCACTACTGACAAGCTGTGTAACTTCAGGCAGGTCACTTAACCCCTCCGTGCTTGTGAAAAGAATACTGTCAAAGCACCTGCCTCATGTGATGTGAGATGTGAGAATTAAGTGATAGAGTACAATTTGAATGCTCAGAACAAGTGCATGGCAAGTAGCCAGCAAGTCTGCCTCCCTCTAGTGTGCCAGAGAGGCCGTCAATCCTGAGGACTGGCTACTGAGCATACAGACATCCCTCCCGCCCTAGTGACTCAATTAAGTTGGTGACCCATGTTTGGGTGAGCAGCTGTCACCACTCATGGTCATGTGCAGAGCCAGGCTGCTTTGCTTAACCCACTGTATAAATAAACAGAGATGCAAAGATGACAGTCCTCCAAAACCAAATCTGGCCAGCAGGGTTGGCGGTGGGAATGGCTCCTCTGACAGAGGTCCTTTGTATCTGCTCCACCTGGACACAGCCTGGCACAGAACCTAGCTCTGAGTATAGCAAGCACAGCACTGCTCAGGAATGGAGAAGCCCTGGTTAAGCACAGAACAGGCCTGGAGGAGCCAGACTCTAGAAGCCACAGGCAGATAGCTGAGGCTGTGAGAGAGCAAAGCAGGTTATACTTAGTCCTACTTCCTGAAGCCAGGCTGTGGGGCTTGCCTGCACTGCCATGTCAGCACCAGTGTCTTCTCTCTACACACCTTGGCTGGTCTAGAACCCTAAGTCCTTCTGAGACTCTCTAGTTGCCTGCCTTTCTCCCTCCCTCCACTACCCCCCCTCTCTCTGTCTCTCTTTTTTTCTCTCTCTCCCTCCTTCCCTTCCTTCCCCTGTTTATTTATCCTCAGGGCTAAAGCATTATCCCTGAGCTTTTTTGTTCAAGGCTAGCACTCTACCACTTGAGTCACAGCTCCACTTCCAGGTTTTTGGTGCTTAATTGGAGGTAAAAGTCTCAGGGATTTTATTGTCTCAACTAGCTTTGGATTGTAATCCTCAGATCTCAGCCTCCTGAGTAACTAGGATTATAGCATGAGCCACTGGTGCCTGGAGCTTCAAATTCTTATTTGTGCCTAACAGCTCCCATTTCCTGTAGACTCTAGCAGTCAGGTCCCAGACTAGATTTCATATCTGGGTCTCCCACCCAATGGGCCATGTGCCCTCGAATCATTCCTTTGCAGACCCCAAGCCCGGTTCAATCTCGTCCTCAATGCACTGAATTTCCAGCAGTTTCCAACAGGTCCTCAAACCCACTACTGGCAGACCCTCCTTGCTGCAGGGGCACCTCCTACTGTGCCATAAGCTCTGTCTTCCCAGAGCTCCTACCACCTGTGCACCCCCTCAATTCTAGCACAGGGCCTGTGAGTGTACAACTGTCTCTGGGTGTGTGTCTCCTTGCTATACATTAAGAGCTGGATGGCTTTATAGTCCCAGGAGGCAGAGGAACTCAAGAAAGATTTGATAAGGGACTGGCAGGTGAAGGAGCACCTTTCTCTTACTGTGGGCTTGAGAATGGCCACCCAGGAGAGGTTTCACTGGGCATCCTACCTCACTCTCAGAGAAGTGCTTAGTCAGTGGGGAAAGGTGGAGCCTGTCCCAGGCAAGTAGCCTGGAGGCCAAGAGGGAAGAGCACTTGCTACAGGTGCTCAAAGGCATACTGGGGCAAGATGTAATTAAGACCTAAGATAATGCTGACAGGTAACCAGAAAGACCTGTGGCTGTAGTGTCACAGGTGTCAGTATCTATGGCAATCAGGGATCCTACATCCCATAGTCCACTGTCCTCACTTGGCCAGATCCTTACAGCGAGGCATAGGACAGGGTAAAAATGAAGAACTGCACCCTGGGAACTGGCCAAATAGACAGGCTGGAGCTAGTGGGTGCATGAGGAACCCAGGAATGGCAGGGAAGGGACAGAGCCTAAACAACAAGGAGCTAGGAATCACCACTTCAAAACTGGGGTAAGCCTGGGGCTGAGGAACCTTGAGATTCAAGTCCGTTAGAGGCCACTAGGGCCTGGCAGGCTGCTGATGGTTATGAATTAGGGAAGGGAGGGAAGCAGTGGGTTCAAGCCAAGAACAATGGAAGGAAAAGATGAATGGCAGGGGCTGGAAGGGAGGTGGGGGAGGGGAGGTCAGAGAGCTGGAGGAAGTGGCCTGCGGGGCAGCTCCACTGAGAAAGATGATTTTTGAAATAGTACTAATGGCCCTTGACAGGGTACATTACAGACGAAGAACAAAAACAACCACCCCTGTGCCTGCTCTGCCTATTAACAAGCCAGTCTGTAATGTGCATCAGATCCAGATGTGCATCAGAGTCACTACTGCCATACCAGAGACAATGGTTCTGCAGCCTTCCCTGTGTCTGTCACTCTGCACAACACCAGGGAGTCATTATGTAGGGGTATCTACCATCATTCCCGGTGTTTTAAAGGACATTATACACTTAGTGGGCTCTGTAGCACACTAAGATACATCATGGTCACCACAAATGTTCAGATATGTGACGACTATTATCTGGTAATCAGCAGTCAAGTGACAGAAAAGATGCTGTTTGCTTATTTTATTTATTTTGTGCTAGTACTAGGGCTTGAACTCAGAGTCTGGGCACTGACCCTTAGCTTTTTCACTCAGGCTGGTGCTCTACCATTTGAGCCACAGCTCTACTTCCAGCTATTTGGTGGTTAATTGGAGATGAGAGTGTCAGGGAACCAGGCACCAGTGGCTCATGCATGTAATCCTAACTACTCAGGAGGCTGAGATCTGGGGATCACGGTTCAAAGCCAGCCTGGACAGGAAAGTCCATGAGACTCTTATCTCCAATTAACCACCAGAAAACCGGAAGTGGTGCTGTGGTTCAAGTGGTAGAGTGCTTGCCTTGTGCTGAAGAGCTCAAGGAACAATACCCAGGCCCAGAGTTCAAGCCCCACAACTGACAAAAAAAAAAAGAGTCTCAGGGATTTTCCTAACTGTGCTGGCTTCAAACTACCATACTCAGAGCTCAGCTTCCTGAGTAGTTAGGATTACAGGTGTAAGACACCAGTGCCTAGCTTGCTTATTTTACAAAAGCAAAATGTAGGGGAAGTGGACATCAGAGAGTCATCAAGCAGAGGAGTGGGGAAGCCAGGAATCCTGAGCAGAGATGGCTCTGAATTGCTCCCCTCAAACTTGTCTTTGTTCTCTGGGACCTTGTACAGCCAGCCCAGGCCCATCTTGAATCCACCTATTTGTCATTTGGGGAACTGCCCCAGTCCTAATTTCTTGTTCCTCCAAGAAGCCTCTGTATCTCTCCAGCCTCCAAAGACCTCTCACCCCTGAGCAACCTGCACTGATTCTTGGTATCCAGAAACTTGGCTCTCAACCACACCCTCAGCCATAGAGACAGAAAGGGCAAGGTTTCTAATGGCTGACTTCCACTCAGGAAACTTATTTACCTTCTCAGCCTTGGGTTCCTACCTTGGAGAGATTAATCAAATGAGCAGATACACTTCCAGTGGCACACAGCAGGTACTTAATAAGGGAGAGTTCACTGGGCTATGATCTTCAGGGAAGGGATGCTCTGAGGTTATCCATGGATCCCCTGGGCCCAAATGATGCTGTGGCACAAGGTAGCACCGAGATATGGTATGAGGAAGGGATAGGTGTGAGTCTGTGTGGCACAGGGACACTTCAGGACCAAGATCATCATTGAAGCCCCAGACTTATCCTCAGGCTCATACTCAGAGCCTATCCCATGCA